ATACATTAATTATTAAGGACATAATGTAACCTTTTAAATTTTGGTCGGAATAGTTGCACAAAATTAATGTTACAGATAGGCCTTGGATTATGATAGCAACTGGGGTTAGGACCGGTGTCACTGTCATAAATGTGATCATAAAGTGCAATATCACATGACTGCATCACTTACAGGCAATTCTGGCAGTCCCAGTTATGTTGTAACCCAAGATGCACAGGTTGCTAAATGGGAAGAGGAAGTTCTATGTAAGGAGGTGCTGCAGGAGTGCCATAGAGAATTGGAGCTGCCCAATGCAGACAACACAGGAACACTGTGGGTGGATGGCAAGGGCAGGAAGGCTATAGGATGGACTGTATAGCGTGAGTGCAGGAAGGTCAGTGGGTGAATAATGCAGGCAGGTAAGGCCTCAAGTTACTCTGGTAAGTCATCCCCACTTTTGCTCTGGGAGAGAGTCTAGGACAGGGATTCCCAACTAGGGGTGCTCGCACCCCCTGGGGGTGCAAGACAATGTTCCAAGGGGTGTGAAAACTTGGGTTTTCAAAATTATAGTGAATATGCATAATTTGTTGCCATTATTTTGAACTTTTGTAAGGGATGTAAGAATATATCAGAGGTGTTTTAGGGGTGCAGGGTATAGAAAAGGTTGGGAACTACTGGTCTAGGACCTTTAGGCTCCTACCATTGGCCGTGCCCACTTCACCTCCAACCACCTGCCTCAGCCCAATCACAGCCAGTTTTCCTCCTCTGCTGGTTCTCCCCTGGCCATTCTCCCTGGGCAATGAGTCCCTGGCTTTCTATTCCTCACCCCAGCCCATTCACCCAGACATTGTTTGTCCTGGGTGTTTAATTCCATAGGACAAGAAGCCACCAGCCAATCAGGTGGCAAACAGCAACACTGGTGCTGGGAAGAGAGAGTGATGGTGCTGTGATTGGTGACAGGTTACAGGAGAGAGCAAGATCGGGGATGGCAGGTAAACACTGCTTGTGTGCTGCTGCTGGGGGTGCCAGGGTTGCAGCAAACCATCAGTAGTAAGTGCGGCTGCTGGAGATACCAGGGGGGGCAGCAGGCCATCAGTCGTTGTATGTGGCTGCTAGGGGTGCCTGGGAGGTTGAACAGTAGTGACGTGCAGTAGGGAGGCAGCTGAACTGCCCGTTTGGCATCAGGCCAGTAGTATTGTGTATGGGTGGGGGGTGGCAGCCAAACTGGTCGTTCAGTTTTAGGCTGGAGTCCAGGTGCAGAGGAAATGGTATTGGGGAAAAGGTCAAAATGGGAAGCCCCTGCCCACTGCTGCCTGCCCTTTGCCTGTGGCAGCTTTCTATTTTCACCCCCCTCCCCATTGCCTCTGCAATGGGACTCTGGCCTGATGCCTAATGAGCACTTCGGCACTACCTTTCTTTACAGGTAGTACTCACTTATTGACCCCCAGTTTTTCTTAATTGTGAGATTGCCCCCTCTGCATCTGATCCTGCCAGCCTGATGCCAAACAGGCAGCTCAGCTGCTCCCCCTACTATGCGTCACCACCACTTGACCCCCCCCAGGAATTGCCAGCAGCAGCGCTTACCACCAATGCCCTGCTGCCCCCAAGCACAAGCAGCCGTGCTTACTGCTGATACCTGCTGTCCTCCCAGGAACCCTCAGTGCAGTGCGCAAGCAGCATTTGTCTGCCACCCTCCCCAGGCACTCCCAGCAGCCATGCTTACCACTGATACTCTCCTGTTCCCCTAGGCACCCCAACAGCCATACTTACCACCAATAGCTTGCTCTCCTCCGGCACTCCCAGCAGCAGCGCAAACAGTGTTTGCCTGCCACCCCCCCCAGATCTTGCTCTCTCCCGTAACCTGCCACCAATTGCAGCCCCCTCACAGCCCCCTTGCTCTCCCTTCCTAGCACTATTGTTGCTGCCTGCCACATGTTTGGCTGGTGACTTCTTGTCTTGTGGAAAGAAATGGTAGGACAAATACCAGGACAAATGGTATCTGGGCAAATAGGCTGGGCCAAAGGGCCGGGGGCAAAGGGCCAAGGGCCCATTGCCCAGGAAGAATGGCTGAGGGAGGGTCAGCAGAGGAGGAAAGCTGGCTGTGAATGTGCTGAGGTGGGTGATTGGAGGTGAAGTGGGCATGGCCAATGGTGAGAGCCTAAAGGTCCCATTCCGCTCTGGGGAGACTTTCCAAAGTGATTTGCAATCTTCCCTGTCTGTAACCACATGACTATTGGATGCTGCAAAAACTATAAGTATGAGCCAATTGCCAACTACCCAAATGTAATCATATTGCTGTGGGTCTGTCAGTCATAAGTACCAATAATTCAGTGCGGTTGTAACTTTGAACACTTATCAAACCAATAGGTGCTAAGCAAGGACTAGTAGTAATGTACTAAATGTAACAGAAAGAACAAGGAAACATGTTTATGTTTGGGAAACAATATCTGGAATAAAAAGTGTTCAACGATATTTGTCAGATGTAGTTTTCTACCATTTTGTGAGCAGTCATATACTCAATTCTAAATATGTTTCACTGAACACAATAAAACTTTCTTTTGATATGACTGTAATCTGAATTACATATGAAAAATTGGACATTACTTGATGAAGTATTCTGGATTTATCAAGCATGGGTTATAGAAAAAAGACTACTATTTAATTGAAAGAAAGTGATAACCCAGATATGCGAAGTTGGTTTGATGTGCATTTAATCTCTGATTTTCAACTAAGTCGCTTTCAATATAGTGTAAAAACTATTATTATTCCACGTACTTCATAATTATTTGATCTAGTCCATATGGTCAAGGATTATTTCTTTATTTAAAAATCTGAGGTATTTCCCACAAATATTCTTTTTGTCCTCTTTTTGGTATACATTTTTGTTTGTAATGAATATAGATTCACTCAGCATGCATCCATTCTTGATCCTTCTTTCATTGTTTTATATTCACATGTTAAAACATTATTCCTATTGCATTTAATTTAACTGTTATTAACTACCGTAAATGCCGGCGTATAAGACGACTTCCGCGAGTGCTGAAATCGGTGCCAAAGACGGGGGTCGTCTTATACGCCGAGTTGTCTTATACGCCGGAAATACTGGTAGTTTCCGGCGTATAAGACGACGTTCTAGGAATGCGGCCCGGCTATAAAGACGGGGGTCGTCTTATACGCCGGGTCGCCTTGTACGCCGGCATTTACGGTATTACTGTTTCTTTTGACATTCATCCTTCACAACATTACCCATTCCTACCGTTACTGTAAATCTTAAAATTATTCCAATTATTATTCCATTTCAATGAACTTTTTAATAAGATACACAAATTCATATTTTGTTCTAGCTTTTCATCACAACATCTAAATTGCAATTCAATCCATGTTGCTTGTGAAACACAACTATATTGGTTCTTCATACATTATTAATATTAATATTCAGAGCTTCACATATACCCTTAATCAGCATACCTTTGTCTTCACCACAAGTTTTTCTTACACATGTTTGTCTTATGTATTTCTCAAAGTTGAACCATTCAATTATCACTGAATTATTTCCATCATATACTGCTGTGATTGTATTCAGCAACTAATCTTCACTCCATATTCATAGAAAACATTCCTTAATTGGATGTTAACAATATAAAGTGCTTTCTCTAAATAAAAATTTACAAAAACTTTCTTTCTCATATCTGTGCATTTTTCACTCTGCTCTTCCTAAATTTTGTTCATTCTCACATTTCATATTTTTTCAATCACATTTCTGCCAAACTCCTTTTTAGGAACTCTTAGTAAAACTAATCCTTTGTACTTATGGAAATCATTCTTTTTAACTTTCCCTTTCCAATAGGAGAATAATATTCTTCTAACTTTCAGATTCAGAGAAAATCTTTATATGTTTTAAAAAGTCATAAAGCCGTTCCTTAAGCAAGATGCAAATTTGGGAATCCCTGGGTATTTTTGAGGAAGAGAAACAAGAGACTTAAAACTAGGGGACTGGAGGCTAAAACATATGAAGAACGGTTGCTGAAATTGGGTATGTTTAGTTTAATGAAAAGAAGGACTAGGGGTGACATGAGAGCAGTGTTCCAATATTTGAGGGACTGCCACAAAGAAGAGGGGGTCAACCTATTTTCCAAAGCACCTGAAGGCAACACCAGAAACAATGGATTGAAACTAATCAAGGAGAGATCCAATCTAGAACTAAGGAGAAATTTCCTAACAGTGAGAACAATTAATCAGTGAAACCAGTTGCCTTCAGAAGTTATGGGTGCCCCACCACTGGATGCTTTTAAGAAAAGATTGGACAGCTACTTATCTGAAATTGTATAGGGTTTCTTGCTTGAGCAGAGGGTTGGACTAGAAGACCTCCAAGGTCCCTTCCAACTCTGTTGTTCTGTTAAACCACAATCACTGTTTAAAAAAATTCCCAATTACTTCGTTAATATCTGCAATCTTACATTTTTCCATATACGTTTTTTCAATTTTCTTTTTCTTGGGTTCCTAATTTGGCTGCTGCACCGAGCCAGTTTTGTAGTGATGTGAATGAAAGTGGGTAAGCTGTTAATAATGCTTTTATAGATTAACAAAAACTCTCTATAGTCCTGAAAGTAGGATGAAGATACTATATATTAAAAAGTCTTGTTTACATGTCTCTGCAGTTCTTTCTTTAAGCTTCTTCATCTATGTGACTCTGGCTTTTCAAAATAGACATATTCCCTGAAATCAAGAGGTTTTCCCATAAAGCATAAACACTGCAAAGGAATGAAAGCTTTACATATCAATGAAAGTGAACACAAAGGAAGAAACAGTATGTTCTGAATTTGTTTTTGTTGCTCTTTAATAATGCACTCCAAATGTGTTGGCTGAAGCAGCTCACTGCCCTTCAGTAACAAAAAAAGCCACTCTGAGTTAAGTAGAACATTAAATCAAAATTCCATGCAGGAAAGAAAATTGAATTAAAAACCATTTCTTTTGAATGTAACACTTTTTGTGGTTTAAAAATAAACTTAGTACTCTCTTACCAATTCTTGAGTATTCTGTGTTAATGGCAGAAATGTAGCTTCCAGGATAGCAACTTGGTCAACATTCAGTTTTTGCCATAGACTAATCAGCAGAATTACCAGCTGGGTGGCACTTTTTAATTTTGTGAATGCCTGGAACATAATGGCTTGGTTTTCTTCAGCTGCATCTGCTAGAGCTATTACCTACAAAAATTATAAACATCTGTTAAATAGCATTCCTGAACACTGAACACTAACATTGCATTTGGCTAACACTTAAGTTTTCTTTAGTTCATTTTTAAAAACATAAACCTTTTTGTGTTTGTCATCTTATTAAAATCTACATGGCAGTCAATTAACATGTCACTGAAATCAACAGAATAGAATCTGTAGAATTTCTATATATGCTGTATTATTCAAGCTGATTCTCAGTACACAATATAATAGAATAGCCCTTAATAAAGTTGTTATTGTGCCAATTTTTTTAAAAACAAATATCCTCATAAATATATATTAGTTTATGCAAACCAGCACATTATTTGGCATGATTAATACACATATGTTTATGGTACAACTACTGGCACACAACTAGTAGAAATTGAAGATATACTGAATCGCAATGCTATATTTTTAAAAAATAAATTCACATAATACTTTGTCCTAATTTAATATTCAAATATCAGTGGAAAAACATAATTAGAAATATCCTAAATAAATGAGTTAAAAACCAAAGATCCTTTTTATAAACACATTATTATTTATATTACATAAATGTAGAAATGGAATTCTCCAAGCAGTTCAAAAACTAACTAGCTCAGCTAGTTAGATCAAGGGTACAAGCTAATTCTTCCATGGATTCAGTCAGCAGTGAATTTAGGGATTCTGCATGAACCAAATGTTACAGCAAATAGCATGAATTAATCTTTGCTTATATTTTATAAAACTATTGACAAAACAATTGCATGTGAAAGCTAATGAGAATTTGTGCAGTATTGTTAGTATTATATTGATCCATTTTTTAAAAAAAATTACAACAGGGAAAATATAAAAGTAAGTTGATTTGCATTAAAAGCAGAATTATAGAATCATAGGGCTGGAAATGACTTGGAGGTCATTTAGTGCAGGAAGCCTCATATCATCATGGACAAATAGCTGTTCGATCTTTTACTGAAACCCTCCAGAAATGGAGCTACAAGTAGGTGCAAATGCAGGTAGGCATGTGGTTGGGGTTACATATGGGCAAAAACGCACAGGCAGCTGCTACAGAATATATGATCCACTTGCCACCTAGAAACTCATTGGGAGAAAAAGTGGAGGGAACAAGGGCAACTTATAACCTCTTACCAGCTTACTCATTGACTTTGCTTGTGTGAAGCTGGTAAAGAAAATCAATCATAAATGATGATCACGTGACAGCAGAATGCTTGATGACCACAATGTTGAGGACTGATTGAAAATTCCTTGTCCAGTGCTGTCATAACTTTTAACAATTGCAAAATAAATGGATATAACAGAGGATTATCTTTATGCTGCTGCTGATTCAACTCAAAACTGCATTGGTTCTTTTGGCATTATAGCGTATTACTGGCTAATGTTTAATCTGTGGTCTACAAAAACTCCCAGATCCTTCTTGCAAGTATTACTGCTAAGGTGGATATTGGCTTTTCCTTCCTAAGTTCAGAACTTTACATTTCTCTTCACTGAACAACATTTTATTGGGGAGGGGGGTACATTTCAAATCTATCAAGATCTTAAGTTGTCTTTTGAAATATTAATACTCTACCTTCCCCTGCTTTGTGCCAGCCAAATTTTCTGAACATCACTTTTATTCTTTTGTCCCCCATAAATCCTTTATGTAGATGATAAAGAGTACTGGGGCCAGGATAGAGTTCTGAAATCCCCACTTCATATTTTCCTCCATGTGGACACAGACTCAGCAAATAACATGTTGGATATGGTTCATCTCGTAGTGGCACCATCCATCAAATATTGTTACAATTTATCAAGAAAAATTATGGTCTATAACTGTCAGGCCCTGTCCAAGGACAACACAGATCAAAAGTTCAGTATTTTATTTGCTTATATGCAATAGACAAAATCTTGCCAGGTTAAACCTATACTACTCTGACCCTAACAGATATATCTTGGGTGATTCAAGATAATGGCTATCTTAAATCTTTTCCAATATTTCTGATTCCAGTTCCAAGTTGTGCTTTCTCTTGTCTTGTCCCCCTCCTTGAAATGTGCTCCCTCCTTCCTGGTAAACTAAAACTTCATTGTAATCTATCACATTATTACGTTACCACCCTTTTCATTGATACAATCCATCACAATAAACTTGAGAGGCAGGAGAAAGAGCCACAATGTAGACAATGATCTAATAAACAAAATCTGAGTCAAAGTAGGAATGTAATTTGAGTAAATGTCTCAGAATTGACTTTCCTTAGCTCTCTGGAACATACAGACAAGGTAGAGAGAAGTAGAAAAATGATAGAAAATAGAAAGTAGAAGATAGAAAAATGCGGGTTACGACAGCATCACCACCAGATGGATCCATAGCTGGATGACCGGCCATACTCAGTATGTAGTCCTCAATGGAACCACATCTACATAGAGGGAGGTGAGTAGTGGGGTGCCCCAAGGCTCTGTTTTGGGCCCAGTGCTCTTCAACATCTTCATCAACGATTTGGACGAAAGGATAGATGGGGAACTCATCAAATTTGCAGATGACACCAAGCTGGCAGGAATAGCCAACACTCCAGAAGACAGGCTTAAGATACAAGAGGATCTGGACAGACTTGAACACTGGGCGCTATCTAACAAAATGAAATTCAATGGTGAAAAAAGTAAGATTCTACATTTAGCCAAGAAAAACCAAATGTACAGATATAGTATAGGGGGCACCTTGCTCAATAGTAGTAACTGTGAGAGGGATCTCGGAGTACTAGTGGACAATCATTTAAATATGAGCCAGCAGTGTGCTGCAGCTGCCAAAAAAGCCAACACAGTGCTAGGCTGCATTAACAGAGGGATAGAATCAAGATCATATGAAATATTAATACCACTTTACAATGCCTTGGTAAGGCCACACTTGGAATACTGTATCCAGTTTTGGTCATCACGATGTAAAAAAAATGTTGAGACTCTAGAAAGAGTACAGAGAAGAACAACAAAGATGATTAGGGGACTGGAGGCTAAAACATATAAGGAAAGGCTGCTGGAATTAGGAATGTCTAGTTTAATGAAGAGAAGGATTGGGGGGGGGGACATGATAGCAGTATTCCAATATCTCAGGCTGCCACAAAGAAGAGGGAGTCAAGCTATTTTCCAAGGCGCTTGAAGGCAGGACAAGAAGCAACGGATGGAAAATAATCAAGGAGAGAAGCAACCTAGAACTAAGGAGAAACTTCCTGACAGTTAGAACAATTAACCAGTGGAACAACCTGCCTCCAGAAGCGGTGAATGCTCCAACACTGGAAGTTTTTAAGAAGAAACTGGACAGCCATTTGTCCAAATGGTATAGGGTTACCTGCCTGAGCAGGGGACTGGACTTGATGACCTCCAAGGTCCCTTCCAACTTTATTATTATTATTATTATTATTATTATTATTATTATTATTAGTAGTAGTAGTAGTAGTAGTAGTAGTAGTAGTAGTACATTTAGACTTAGGAATATTTCAAGGAGATTCATTATCACCATTACTATTTGTCATTGCACTGTTTCCTCTATCAACAATATTGAATAACTCAGGCCATGGTTATCAAACATTGAAAACATCTGCCAGAATATCCCATCTCTTTTACATGGACAATCCTAACCTGTAGGGAAAAACAACAGCTGAAATAGAATCCTACTTAACACTGTCCATATATATAGCCAAGATATATACATCCATACACTAATTAAATAAATATTACACCATTTTTTATTAAAACAAACTATAAGGGAAGATATTAGTTGGAATTGTAACCTATTAATGTAGACAGTAAAATACTCAGGATCTTTACTAATTCACAGATTTCTAAAACAAATTTATATAAGATAAAGAAACAAAGTAGTAGGCAAGTTTAACTGTAATTAGAAAAGAAAACAGCAATCTGAAGTACACTGAGATATTAACATACTTTCAGTGAAATTATTGGGCAGATAATTAAGTCTAACATCTGACAAGGCCCAATACTTTTAGATCTTTGAGATGTCAGTTTGGAATTAATAATTTCATTCAAACTCTGATATCAGAAAAGGGATCTCAAATATAATAGGGACTCCTTCCTGCCATCTGAACCTGGGAGCATACATAGTTCAGTGACAAATATATGCATAGAAGAAAAAGAAAACATTGTCAGTTAATGTGAACAGTTGCTAAGTCAATGTCACTGAAACATATGTCAATCACCATACCATTATTTTTGAGCCAATTCAGTAATGTCTGTACTGACAAATGATTGGTAACATAAAGTATGGACAAACTAACAATAGCTAATTGTCCCAGTCCTTTTCTACTGTTGAAAAAAATGACAACTTAATTAAAACTGACATGAAAACTTTTATATGGCCTCAGAGCCAAAAGATCTTACAAGGGAAAAAGGATTACAACAACCCAGACGAAAGGAAAGAAGGCAAAGAATAACTGCAATAAACTTCTCTTGAGGAATACACAAACACACACATGGTGCGCACACACATACATACATTGTGTGAATGTTGTGTGAATGGTTTAGGTGTCTTCCAACATTTAAAATTTAACTATGCAACATTCTCTTAATGTATTCTAAATTAACAATTTGGTATCATTCTTATTAGAAATAGTATTCTGTTCCTGAACTTTACAATTTAAAACGTGAAATTTATTTACCATTTCTCTACTACTGCAATCATAAGGAAGTTTTCATAACCAGAGAGTGAACATTAAATAGCAATTAAGCTACAGCCCAAACACTATTCTTATTTATTTTACTCCAATGTTTTTCCTTTATTTCAGCTGATTTTAAAAACAAACTATTTTAAAAGAAGTCTGAAAACTATTTTAAAATTATAATTTTGTTACACTAACATAAAATTCAACAGAGAGCATTACAAAAAACAAACTATTTAAAAATGTAAGCCACTTAAAATTTAATAGTCAATTACATTTTTTTTCTCTAAATGTTTCTAGCTGAAAAATGCTCAATTCATTCATATAAAAAATATGCACAGAAAAGCA